CGATGCATATGGCCCAAAATAGTCGATCGGGAGTTGAGCTAGCATGGCGTCTATGGGCCAGATTCCAGAGTTGACTTGGCAATGAGATTGCGCTGTTTCAGCTATCGCCGGATCCGAAAAGTCAAGTGGATAGGATATCGGCTGACCGAGTGAATATTGCAAATTTAATGGAGCCCTGGTGGCTTCGTGTGCTATTGCTGTGCCAGAAGGAAGAGGGTGAACTGGGTTAGGGTATACAATTGGGGTCGTTTGAGACGTTGCCATCGAGTGAGGCCCAGAGCATTGGCGAAGGAAGCGATCATACATGGGCCGGTCTGCATGATTTGAAATCGTTGCTATAACTTGTTTCTGGGTTTCCCAGGGGTAACCGGTTTGCGTCATTTCCTTACGGCCTGCCAGCAAAAGGGTCATATGCCAAGGGAAACAACTGGTATTTAGCTGAATATAAATGAGAAAGAAAGCAAGTTAGCATATATTATTATAAGTTAAACTCATAAACGATTTAAGTGCAACGAATCTGATTCATCAACCTCGCAACTATCTAAATTATTCCCAAAACAGTTATTGGTAAAAAAATTATGGCCAGCAAGGAACGCTATATTCTAAGTCATAAAGTTTACGAAATAGACGATCAGCTTAGGTTAGTTACCATTTTGTCTCAAAAGAAAAAGCTGAAAATAAATTATTTAATGAATGACCAAAATTATGTTTTTCTACAATTAACTTGTTAATTCTCGAATAATTCACTTATATAATGGCCAATAATGGCTAGAGAAAGTTCTGCAAAGGTGCCATTCTCCAAAATTGATTATCATAGCTACCGTTATGGATGATAAGCAAATAATCAGTAATAACTAAACAAGAGGATAGGCTTAAAGGACATTTGGGCAGAAATGTGACCGACGAAATCGGAAGATGTATTCCAATCTTAATATTTTGTAAAATAGGGCATTTCACCCCAATATGTTGGTTCGAAGGGACAGAAACCAAATTACTTATTTTGGCCTAAGCCTTACTACATTTTACAAATGTGAGTATATCTAAAATTAAATCTCCAAAACAGTATAGAAAGAATGTAGATATGAAGACCAAGATGGAGTGGCCCTATGTTTGGTCTCTATCTCCATAATATTTCGTGTTTGTTTGACCGCATTTTCGCAATTTGGTCTGAACGTCAGTGAGACATTGTGGAACGATGATGATTCCTACTACCCTGACCGCGCAGCATCTGAGAATGTGCTAAGTCTATACTCCGATAGTAGAAATCACGAATACTGTGGCGGAGGAAGCAGCACTAGTTACGTTCCACAAGGTCTTTCTGACACTCCGACTAAGTTACGAAAGAGAGGTAAAACCAACACAGTATAGGAGGAAGTCAATTTAATCGGTAAAAATAAACTAATGTGGATTTAGTGAGCAAGGTACTAAGCAGATGTCTAGTCTGGAGGATAAAGTCTTTT